CACATCGGGCCAGAGAAAATGGAATGAAATATACAAAGCCATACAAAGGAAGGGTCTGAATCCAAGAATACTGTTCCCAGCAAGGTTAACAATCAAAATTGAGGGTAAAGTACTGTGCACATTGGTGGTATAGTGGTGAGCATAGCTGCCTTCCAAAATTGAGGGTAAAATCAAGATCTTCACTGACAAAAGAGGACTAAGGAAGTTTATCACCATCAAATCAGCAATGCAAGAAATGCTAAAAGGTCTGCTGTAAAAAGAATAGGAAGCAAAGAAGAAACACAGGCATAAAAAATAAAAATGCCAACAAACAAGTACCTATCAATGATAACTTTAAATGTTAATGGATTAAATGGCCCAATCAAAAGACACAGGGTAGCCGAGTAGATAAGAAAACATGACCCATGCACGTATCTGCTGTCTACAGGAAACCTATTTCAGAAAAAGGACTCACACAGACTGATGGTGAAGGGATGGAGAAAGGTATTGCAGGTGAATGGAAATGGGGGGGGAAAAAAAAAGCTGGGGTAGCAATACTTATATTTGACAAACTAGATCTCAAAGTAAAAGAACATAACAAGAGATAAAGAAGGCCACTTCATAATACTAAAGGGAGCTATCCAACAAGAAGATATAACTCTAGTAAACATATATGCACCCAATACAGGAGCACCCAAAAACAGTAAAAAAAAAAAAAAAAAAAAAAAAAAAAAATATATATATATATATATATATATATATATATATATATATATATATATATATATATATATATATCAAGGAAGAGATAGACAGCAATACATCCATAATAGGGGACTTCAATACCCCACTAACACCAGTGGGCAAATCCTCTAAACAAAAAATCAGCAAAGAAACATCAACCCTAAATGACAGGCTAGATTAGATGGAATTAACTGACATCAGAACATTTCACCCCAAAGACACAAAATATATATTCTTCTCAAGTGCACATGGGTCATTTTCAAAGATAGACCATATGTTGAGACACAGGCACAAAGTCTCAATAAGACATCCCCTGAAAATAAGACCTAGCGCATCTTTGGGAGCAAAAATTAACATAAGACACTGTCTTATTTTCGGGGAAATACGGTAGATCTCTTTTTTTCTATGTGGTGTCTTTGTCTGGTTTTGGGATTAGGATAATACTGGCTTCATAGAAAGAGCTTGGAAGTGTGCCTTCCTCTTGAATTTTTTGGAATAGTCTAAGGAGGATAGGTTTTAATTCTTCTTTGAATGCTTGGTAGAACTCCCCTATAAAGCTGTTCAGACCAAGGCTTTTGTTTGCTGGAAGATTTTTATCGCTGTTTCAATTTCTTGGGTAGTTATCAGCCTATTAAGTTTTTTTGGTTCCCCTTGGTTGGGTATTGGGAGCTTATATTTTTCTAAATGGACAACCTAGATGAAAAGGACATATTCTTCCTTACATCTTTTCCTTAGATTCTCATATATGGGACAGGCTGCAAAACTGCCATTCTTGGGAGCATTTTCTCAATCTATTGAGATTTTGTTCTCAGGCATGTTCTCAAAATTTTGTCTCAAATAAACTCTTTTAAAAAACCTTTTCTAGCCGAAACCAGTTTGACTCAATGGATAGAGCAGTGGCTTGGGGACTGAAGGGTCCCGGGTTTGATTCCGGTCAAGGGCATGTACCTTGGTTGTGGGCATGTCCCCAGTAGGGGGTGTACAAGAGGCAGCTGATCGATGACTCTCTCATCGATGTTTCTAACTCTCGATCTCTCTCCCTTCCTCTCTGTACAAAATCAATAAAATATATTTAATTAAAAAACACACACAAAAAAACACTTTTCTATAGGTTGTACATTCTTTCCTCAACAACCTTTCTGTGACTCGATGCTCATTAGAAAATGAAAATACTAATGCCAACCTCGTAAAATCATTGAAGATTAAATGAGTTAGGAAAAGTATTTAAAAGATGACTGCCAGTTAGTACTAACAACTACTATGTATTATTATATTCTCAAGATGTGTGGTAGTGTGTGTGAAAGAAGCAGGAAGATACAAAAAGGGGCATGCAGGTATTCATTTTATTCTCAAAAATATACTTTTTATATTTATAAAATCTATGATATATTCACAAAACATTTTTGGGTAAAAGGCCTGGCTAAAAGCCAGGGAGATCAATTAGATTAGCTTATAAATTAAGTCCAAAGGGTCCTAAGTGTTGACTATGGTTACTAGGAAAATAATAAAGGACAAGACTGCCGAAGCCAGTTTGGCTCAGTGGTAGAGCTGCCTGTCCTATCATTTTTGTTTTCCAGCTGCTCTCCACTAGTGAGCTGATAGACAGCAATTCATTCAATAAATGTTAGTAACAAGAGCTTCTGTTGTTACTCTGGCTACCATACTTAAAAGAACAATTCAAATGTATCACTTAATTCCATGTTACCTTTGAGATTTATATGGTAGCTGCTTCCTAGACTGTGTTATTTGTTAATCAAACTGTTAAAAATCCTTGCCTGATCAAAACATCTCTATTTTCTATAGCTAACACCATGCTGGATTTATCAATATTAAATAAGTATGAATTGTTAATGTTTATAACCCTGAAATCTGAGTATGAGTAGCCTTCTGATTTCATGTGGTAGTTTTAAAAGGTCGATTTGTGTTGTCATATTTTATGGCCACCTGTTTGTTAAGCTAAAATGCTTTTTAAATTCTGTTGGAAATGCAGCCTTATTTCTGACATGACAGTTAAAGTATCTAAGCTGTGCCATTTCTTCTGATAAATTAAATTTAGTCATTTTTGTTTTAATAGTGATCTCCAAATTAGACATTTTGATGTCAAGGTGATTAGGAAAATTGGTCATGTTTTGATTTGTAAAGGGTGGTAGCTATTTAAACCTTAGTGTATTCTTGATAGTTAGAATCCACTTAAAGCTGAACTTAGTACATAAAATATATATGCTTTCCTATTAAACATCCTATGGATTCTGACCAGATTACCTTAAAGGCCACATCCCGGTACCACTGCCCAGCTGGATAGTCTTGGCAGTGCTGTTCAACATTTACAGGCATACCTCATTACTTGTGCTTCCCTTTGTTGCACTTCACAGCTAGGTATTTTTTACAAATAGAAAGTAAGACCCTTAAAGACCCTTCCCCTGCAGAAAGATTACTGCTTGTTTTATTGTGAAGGTTTGTAACCAAACCCAAGGTATCTCCAAGGTATGCCTGTATAACAGCATTCCTTGTTCAGTTTCCCAATACAAGTGTTTTTGAGAGTAGCTGAAAGCCTCTTATCCCAATTAAGTTTAATGAACTACAATTCTTATATAATCTCATCCATCTACTTAGTGACACTTCTTCCTAATAATCTAATGGTTCTCCTTTTACCTTCCTTTTTATTGACCTAACTCCTGGTTGAATTTCATTGCTTCAGTCATTCTTCTTAATCATCCCTGACCTCTGCAAACCTGTTACCCTCATTCAGCTGTAACCCTGACGGTTATTTCTGGCCTCATTAATACAGACCTAACAATAGTCACTAAAACTGAAACTAAGGAAAAGTGCGTCTTTATCAAAGTGACTGCTCTCTTTTAGCATTCCCTACACACTTCCCCCCATTAGCTTCTATGAGATAACTTTACCCTGATCTTCTGCAGCCAGCCAGAAGACAGGAGAATATCAGGGTATTCTTCTTCCTTCACTATGCAGTCCTTTTTTTTTTTTTTTAAACCTACTTTTATAATTCATCTAAATACAATTCTACCCCTACACTACTACTTAATTTTAGTCATTTCTGTTTCATCCCAAATTATTTCAATTTTACAGAAAGTACCTACTCTCTTGGCACATACCCCAAATACCCTGTTTCCCCGAAAATAAGACAGTGTGTTATATTAATTTTTTCTTCCAAAGTTGCGCTAGGTCTTATTTTCAGGGGATGTCTTATCTTTCCATGCGCTAGGTCTTATTTTCGGAGGATGTCTTATTTTCGGGGTAACACGGGTACCTATGGTCCCTTTGTCTCTTCTTGTAACAAGCACTTAGAAACCCCGTCCTCATCCAGCTTGCTCCATCTTCCCTTCTAGGAAACTGTCTTTAAATCTAAGCACTGCTAATCACTGTTCCCTAGGTTATTCCAGTTTGGTAGCATTGGTCAACCTCTACAAATGCAATCATCTAATTACCGTGCGGTTTCCGTTCAGTGCTTTGCTGCTTCCGAACAGGGACTCTATCCTATTTAACTGCTTAATCATAGAGCCTGAAGCTATGCGAGGCACTCAGCATTTGCTAATTAAGAGAGAATGGCTCTAACCCGGGCCTCCTCACGTGTACATTTACAGTACTCCCAAAGCAGCGGTTTCCAACACGCATGTGCGACATTCCAACAAGTATTGGTGCCTTAACCGGCGGGCGGCCCGCGTGGAGGCAAAAACAATCATTAAGATCAGCTCCCCCCGTGTCGCTTCTGTAAAAGGGCATTGACGCGTCGAAGTCAGTCATTGGGTGGGAGGTAGGAAGCGGGAGCTCTGGTGTAGGATAAACCCAGAGCGGGGCACTGCAGTCCAAGGAAGCGGCGTAAACAAGGGCTGGCATTGCACTCCGGATTGCGGTCTGTTCCATAGCAGCCAATTAGGCCGGCCGGCCGGCCAGGGCGCCTACCTGGTTTGGGCAAGATTCCTAGAAGGGCCGTTACACCCACGTGACCGATTGAGCCATGTTTTCGCAATACAGCTGTGGACACAGTCACCCTGGCGGTCCAGGCTGTGCTCCGGGGCCGCAGGTTAGGGGCCGTGGGAGGCAGACACGGGCGGGGCCTGTTCTAATGGGAGGGTGCAGCCTCGCAGAAGAGCAGGGGGCACGGAGGGGTCTCGGGGGGTACCTCGGGGCTTCAGGCGCCCTTCGCCGTCCCCCAGGATGCGGTGACGCGCGGGGCCGAGGGCGCTCTGAAGGAAGAGAAGAGCAGAGGCACCGGGACCGACCTGGGGCCCAGGCGCAGGTCACCCGCTTCTTACCGGGGAGAACTGAGACCTAGAAGTCGTCGAGACCGATGCTGCCGCCATCTTCCTGTGTGCCCAGCGGACCCCGCAGCCCCGGAGCGGGCTGGTTCTGCTGCCGTCCCTCCAAGTCCGGGAGACGCCGGCCGAGGGTACCCCTCAGCCGAGCCCCAGGTGGAAGGGGCTGCTGGCGCCGGGTCTGGAAACCCCTGCCGCACACCCCCACAGGGACGCCCACGCCGAGCGCGCACACGGAGAGGGCCACACGCACTAACGGGCGTCTGCAACAGCCAATCAAAAAGGCGAGCGTCTTCCGGGAGCAGGAGCGAATCCGCCTCTTCCCCCGTGACGTCACAAGGTAGCGCGTTGCCGAGAACGCCGCGGCGCTAACGCGGCGGCTGCTAGACAGCTCGGAGGACGAACCAGGCGTCTGCCGGCGGAGAGGTGGGCGAGGGCTCGTTTTGTCTCCTGAGGCACTTGAATCGAATCACCGTTTTGGGTTAAGGCAAATGCGGAGTTCAAACCCTGCACCGGTTCTCTTGGACTAAAGGCCAAGGAGGGCGTTTGCTTGGCTCCGGGACGCCAATCCAGGTGAAGTACTCACCTTTTGTCCAATAGGAGACAGGGTGAGGCGGGGCTTGACGATCTGGTCCAATAGCAGCCGAAGGAAGGGGCGTGGAGGCAAACCTTCGCGAACCCTTGCCCAATTGGACCCGGGAGCTCCCCCCCCAAACCTCAGACTGGCTGCCGGAAATTGCCGCGACCCGGGCCTGGGGGCGGGGCGGGTTTAAAGCGGCTTTTCCCGCGCCCAGAGCGTCAGGCGGTGATTGGCTGGCGACTTCCTCCCTTTGTGGGAGCTCCCTGCGTCGTCGGGGTTAGGGGTTGGGAGGAGCGGCCGAGTGACGCAGAAGCTTCCCCGGCTAATCGGGTGTGGAAGGGGGGCCAAGGAGGAAGCGGATCCTCTGCCGCGCAGCTACACTGCAGCCAGCCACCCGCTCCGTCTCCCTCCGCCGCCGAGCGGGGCCTGAGCGGGAGCGACTGGGACGGCGTCACCGGGCGGGCTGGGGCGGAAGTGGAGGCGGAGGGAGACGGCGGCGTCCACAGGGGCTCGGGCTCCCCGGGCGAGGCCCTTGGTGGGCTTAAGGTAGGGGGAGGGGGCGGAGGAGGAGCCCGCGGCCCGGGCGGCGGCGGCGCCCGACTTCCCCGTAGGGCCCCGCCTCGGAGCGGGCGGCGGCGGCGGCGGCGGAGACCGAGGAGCAGGATGGCGGCCTCGGCCCTGTACGCCTGCACCAAGTGCACCCAGCGCTACCCCTTCGAGGAGCTCTCCCAGGGCCAGCAGCTCTGCAAGGTCCGTGGGCGCTGGGCGGCGGGCGGGCGGGCGGGGTTCCCCTCGGGCTAGCTGGGTGCCCACTGAACTGCATGCAGCCCCGCTCCCTTTGCCGGCGCCTTGGGGCTTTGGAGCCCTCGCCCGGGGACCCGTTTGGTGGGTGACCTGGGCACCAGCTGAGAAAGGCCCCGAGAGGAAGGCAGTCCCGCCCTCCTCCAGGCGGCCCAGGAGGGGTCCGGGCCCCAACAACATTCAGGGATCTCAGGGGTGGGGCTGACCGAGACAGCCACCTGTCTGTGCCGCAGAGACCTGGGGTGGAGATGTTTTCATCTCGTTATTGTTTTTTTTGCTTCCCCCCCCCCCCCCAGCCCCCCTCCGTTGCCTGGTTTGCCCTCTCCTTCCACCGGGAGGCCGGGGACGGTTTTTGCACTTTCTTGCTAGGAACCTGAAGCAGCAAAGCTGATGGCATCCTCCTTCCCTGTCCAGGAAAGCGAAGCGACTAGCTTGGGAACAGAATGCTCTATGATTTGGAGCTCCTCCCATCCCATTAAAGCCGGGATGCTGTCTGTGAGCAACGGTGTAAAATAATAAGGAGTTTCACATTTAAGCGACGCTTGGAGTGGCCCTGACAGCTTTCTTAATTTATCAGTAGCATACCTCCCCCCCCCCCCCCCCATCTAATAAAGACAAAGACACCTATGACTTCCCTAAGGGGTTACACCACTTGTGTAATGAACCGCCCAATTGTCTGAGTTGGGGGATAAATCTTATTGATGTTTTAGACATTGACTAGGTTAGATAATAATTTTAAACCAGAAAAGTAGAACTTGAGACTTGGAGGTAGATACTGATTGACTCACTGTCTTATTACAGGAATGTCGGATTGCGCATCCTATTGTAAAATGTACTTACTGCAGATCAGAATTTCAACAAGAGAGGTTTGTATAATACTTTTTGATAAAGCTATTGTCTGTAAGGAATACTTGGGGGTTGTAACTCCACATTTATATTAAAGTGTTTTTTAAAAATGGTTTAGCTTCTTAAATGATAATTTGTGGAAGAGAGAATGTTGACAAAAAATTAATGGTTATTGTTTAGACGTTTGAACGCAAGGAAATAAATTATTGTATGGAAAATATATAGCCTTGCTAACAAAGTATTTTAATAAACAAAATATTCAAATATAAGCACATACTGGTAAGTTTAAAAAATGGCATAATATTAGTGCTGACATGGACCTGAGGGAAGGTCTATATAGTGTTACCAGCTATCTTCCAAGAGTACTTTTTTTTATATATATATATTTTATTGATTTTTTCAGAGAGGAGGAGGAGAGGGATAGAGAGCCAGAAACGTCGATGAGAGAGAAACATCCACCAGCTGCCTCTTGCACACCCCCTACCGGGGATGTGCCCGCAACCAAAGCACATGCCCTTGACCGGAATCGAACCCGGGACCTTTCAAGCCGCAGACCGACGCTCTATCCCTGAGCCAAACCGGTGCTGGCTGTACTCTAATTTTTTAATAAGAACCATCCTAGGTATTAAAAAGTACTCTTGCGAAACCTCAGGGCTCAGGGGTAGAGCGTCGGTCTGCGGACTGAAAGGTCCCGAGTTCGATTCCGGTCAAGGGCATGTACATTGGTTTGGGGCACACCCCCTATAGGGGGTGTGCAAGAGGCTGCTGGTCGATGTTTCTCTCTCATCGACGTTTCTAGCTCTCCATCCCTCCTCTCTGTGAAAAATCAATAAAAATATATTTTAAAAAAAATTAGAGTACACGTAAGAGAGTAAGTAACCTAGGAGAAGAACAGTAATTTTTTCTTAAATTGGTGTGAAGGCCCAGTGGAAGGCTAGGTAGGCCCTGACTTACAATGCTCTGCATAAATAGTGGCATGTGTGAAGGTTTTGCAACAAGATACCAAAAATGCATAAAGAAAATGTATATATAACATTTATCTTAAGTTATTGATTTTCAACCTTTTTCAGCTCATGGCATATGTGAACTAATTATTAAAATTTCTAATTAGAATCTATGGCACACCCAAAAAGATAATTTTTGCCTATGACAAAAAAAGTTTTATTTTGATTCATTTACACTGGACCGTTATTCTTGTGTTGGCTGTTACTTTTTTATTTGTCAATCTAAGGGCAGAGAGGTCAGTGCCTCTGGTTAAGTAGTCAGGGATTGAATGTTTTAAAAATTCTTGCAGCACACCAGTCACTGCCTTCAGGTAATGGAAGAAGAGTAAATTTGAATAATAGATTCTTATGTTTGTATATTTTTAAAATTGTGAGTTTTTATTAGAATGAGTTTTAGGTACTAAAGCAAGTTGTACACTTTATCTGTTTTAATTCAACATTATATCTGTTATCTCAGAAAACTACATAAATTTGATCACCTACAATTTCCTTTTCAGCAAAACTAATACAATTTGTAAGAAGTGTGCGCAAAATGTGAAGCAGTTTGGCACGGTAAGTATGTTATATATTTTCATTTCATGTTACTGTCACTGGTCAATTAATGTTTTACACAAAGATGGACCTTTTAAATGTATATGTAGTTCTTAAATATTTCAACATTTCAAAATATTTCAGGATAAATTTTCTATAGACAGTCTGTGGGGAAGATGACTATCTAAAAACAGTCATATGTGCATGTTTCATATATATTGAAATACAGGGTGAAAATTATTAAAGATTCAAATATAACTTATTCATTAAAGATTAAAAAAATAAACTGGTTATGGAGAACGAACTTACTGATAAAGTTTGCAAAACCATGGTTTTTTTCCTTCAGAACCTTAAACAATGTTTATGTAGCAGCATAATTCAGGCATTTATTAACAGAAGTCATGACATTATTCTAATACCTGCATATTATAGTCATTATTGATCTATTACAGCCATGATTAGTCAAAGTGTAGGCCTTAAGGTTCTTCAGAATCCTTAATTGTTTTTTGAATATCAAAAGAAAATCAAGGTATGTGTATGTCAATTTTTTAAAGTTGAAAATTCACCTATAGTGTACATTCCTTATATCATCTGTACCTGTATAAATGTTTTCTGAATGAATGGTATAGTGATTAACCTAACCAAGGTATTAAATTAGTAGAAATTTATTCCCTAAATACTGGATACATAAAAATTTTCTGTCTGTACTTCTATTTTCATTCTTTAAGACCTTTTACCCCTGTAGTTTGTGTATTATATAACATACATTGTAAATCATAAATATTTCTCATGGTCTTTTTTAACTATTCTGTAGAGTAAAAATAAGTTTTATAACTAGAAATAAGTTTCATTAAATTAGTAGAAACATCATAAACATTATGAAATGTCATTGAATATGACATTTTACCATATGGTTTTCATATACATTATTTCACTTAAAGTCACATCATCGATGTTAACTGAGGACTTGCTGTATTTAACCTAAAAAAAAATTTTTTTACCTATTATTTTTCTTAATTCCAGAAATTGTACATTGGTTATATTTTGTGCAGCAACTTAACATTTTTAAATGTCTCAGTTAAGAAAAATATATCTGTTTTTCAGCCTAAGCCTTGCCAGTACTGTAACATAATTGCAGCATTTATTGGTACGAAATGTCAGCGTTGCACAAATTCAGAAAAGAAATATGGACCACCTCAGACCTGTGAACAGTGCAAACAACAGTGTGCTTTTGATCGGAAGGAAGAAGGAAGAAGAAAGGTATGTTTTATTTATGTTATGACATA